TAGCTAACCCTCCACTGGACACTTAAGGCTATAATCTCATGGGAGCAAATTGCTTATCTTTCTCCCATAGAGCCTTTAGTGGATTCAAACAGGCAGAGTCCAACTGTCTGTAGATTATGTCACCAGAGTCGATTGATTTTTATTTTTTTTTTAAACACTACCTCTGACACTTCTAGCCATATTGTTCTAGACAGGTTATTTACTCTCTCTGTGACTAAGTCTTACCAATCATAAAATTAAAATGATAACTGTGTGACTATGCCTTGTAAGGTTGTATATGTGAAAGTCACTTATTCTAGCTGTCTTTAACAAGTTACTTACTATCTCTATGACTATGTCTCATCAATTGTAAAATGAAAATGATATCTTATAAGGTTGTACATGTGAAAACGAGTTAATAGATTGGAGAAGTATTTAGGAGAGTGTCTGGCACACAAGTATTTGCCACAGGCAATTTTATTGTCATGTGGTAGGTAACTCTATGTATATTTTTAAAATTCATCAATTTAATGGGATTACAAAGTTTAATTCTAGGCAAAAAGATTCTTAGTACTGAAAAGGAAAAGTAGATCAATTACCCATGTAAAACATGGATCATCTCCACAAGGTCTGTATAATGCATGGAAACAGTTCTTCTGAGAGTTATGGAAAGCGGCATCTCTTAATAGTAATTTCTGGATGACTCTGAGTGTTAGAGATCTCTTCCTTAACATTTGGTAAATCATCACTTCTCTCTGAAGTTTCCTTTTGGCTGTAATATCACTTAATTTAAGGGGGCTCTGGTGAAGTAGTACATAGTGAATTGTGCCACTAACTCGCAGGCTTAGGGAAGCTCCTTAGAAGAAAAATGGGAAGTCTCCTCCCATTGTGACTTAAAGACTCGGAAACCAAATAAAGGGTTGCGGGTTGCTTTTAGTTGTTACAGATTTGACTGCAGTGAATGTTAAATTTTTATTTAATTTGGCCAAGTGTATACATATCTCTGAATAATAGTTTGATTCGCACAATATTTGCCTTTCCTACACTAAGTTTGTGCATCTGAAATCTAGGTACTTATGTCATCATTGCAACTTAGATATTACTTTACTGGTTTTTCAAATCTCAAAAGGGTTCTGTTTAAAATGAAACTTAACAAAGAGAACTGATATATGGGAAAGGAAGCACATAGACAGAAGAGTCCTACTCTAGTTGAAATTTTTGGGGTGACCAGTGACCCCACGACTTTCTTTCCCTCTTGGAGTTTCAGTTGTTCAGTGTATAAAATTTGAAAAGTGAAATAATTGAAACTTTTTTGAAAGCTTTTCAGATGAGCAAAGGTGCTTACAAATTCTGAAGTTACTGGCTCCTGTAGAAGTTCTTCAGCCAAAAATTCTGGGCATTTTCTGGAATATCAGAACCTCCACCAGAGGGTGCACAAGAACTAAAAGGAAGATGGAGAAATTAGTTTGGCAAATTCCTAAAACTGAGGCCAAGAGACTATATATCTATTACAGATATAAAATATATTAAACATAAATAGATATAACATATATAGAATATGTAACAGTTGTTTATATATGTATATAGGTTGTTGTTGTTTTTATGTACTGTGGAATCAGAACCAACCAATAGTTGATTCTCCGGAGGGTATTCAGAAGCCTTAAATCACATGGAAGGAGACTGCCAATTCTTCTCTCTCTCTTTCTATAGCTAGCTAGCTAGAGCTAGAGATATAGATATTACTGAACGCAAGGGGTCAATTGCCAATAAGACAGATGGCAGTATCCATAAACACTTTATTACAGATCTAGGAGGATAGTGAGATTCCCCTCAAAAACTGCCTCCTCCCTTTGAAGTGGTCATTACGTTTTTACACTAGGGTTGTTATTGTTGTTGTTGTTATGTGCCGTCGAGTAACTTGCGACTCGTAGCGACCCTCGGTACAACAGCCCTAAACTCTGCTCTGTCCTGTGCCAATCTCATTGTCTCCGACACACGCATCCCGATTGCCCCAGTCACCGAATCAATCCACCTCCCAGAGGGCCTTCCCCTCCTGCGCCTGCCCTCCACCCTCCCAAGCATGATGTCCTTCTCCAAGGACTGGTCCCTCCTTACAACATGTCCAAAGTATGTCAGATGATACTAATTTACTTAACAATACACTTTTGTTAGTAAAGTTATAGAATTTCCACATGTGAAAAAAACAAAATTAATATAAAATTACTAGTAAACAGGCAAGCTGTAAAACAATGAACACATAATCGAGAAAAAGTTAAATGGTAATTCAGGAAAGGTGCATTTCTCTTCTTGGCAAATAGATGAAGATACATTTACATATGACTGGAAAAATATTTTCAACAAGGTAAATGCTAATCTAGGAAAGATGCATTTTTTTCTCCTGGTAAACAGACAGTTCTAAACTACTTAAATGACTAAAGAAAACATACAAATAAACAAAAAAGCAAAAAAAAAAAAAAGAATTTTAAGGCAAAGTACTAGTTTTACAGGATAGAAAAAAAAATGTCAGTTTTTTACTACAGTTTTAATAAATGATAAATATTTGGAGAATTCTGAACTTATCAATACTACCCTATCATGCATACAAAAACTATTTCTGCTACTCAGAAATTAGAACTAAGAAATCTATAAAATGAGGATATTTCATGATTAACTTTAAATACAAGTATTTGTGATACTTGGAAACGAAATATTCCTGGCCTTAAATTTAGATTTCAAGATTCAGAAATAAGATCTTCCCACTCTTCTGTTGTGTTGAGACACTAAGAGACTTTCCTCTATTCATCTCTCAACTGAAATACAACATTTTTAATAATGTAGTCTTTTGTGTCATTATTTTTAAGTTTATTTCTACAAAAGAATTTCTAAACAGAATAAGTTCCTCTTAATCTCATTCTCAATAGAAGCAAATATTATTAATAGTTTAATAAATGTACACATGCAGCTATAAAATTCTTTGCTGGTGAAATTGTTGTAATTGTCTTAACAGTGTAACTGCAAAGTAGAACTGAATTCTGGGTATTATTTTGCTTAACAACAGTTTTAATTACATGCCAAATCTGTGTTATTTTGGAAAATTGGGAAATATTCTATTACAAGAGGGTGCTTTTAATGACTTTTAAAAGATTTCACTCTTGCTCATTTGTCTTAGGGAGATTTTTAAAGTCATACTTTCCGTGTTTTTCCACAACCCTCTACCATCCCCCATATCCTTGTACCTGTAACTGTGTTAAACACCTTAGATGTGAAACAAACAAAACACTTGACCTCTGGCTGACTGGCTTTGCCTTAAATGTTGGGAGTAAAATTTGTAATTGACACATACTTATGACAGAAAGTTATTTCCAACCAAAATGATAGTAAACATGACATGGGGATGAAATGATGCAGAAATTAGTTGACATTTATGGATGCTTTTAAGTTGAAAAGTACTGACTGCTCTTTTAATAATGGCAAAAGAAATGTTGATTAAATATGGCTCTGTCTTGGAGGCTTATCAGATTTGATTAACAGGTTTCCACGGTTCACACCCAGACTATGTGTCTAGACACACAATTGATCTGTCCATCCTCGCCATGTGGAGCCAGGCCCATTCTTTTTCCTTGTTTCATAATGTTTGTCCTCATCAGCTTTCTTCATTGGATTGTATCTCTTCTAACCCCTACCCAGAGACTGCATTCTTACAGAGGTTATGAATTTGCCCTGGAAATTTTGCATTTTTAAAAGAACTCAGGATGACTATTTCTTTGTCTTCTGTCTGCTACTGGTTGCTTTCAAGTCAGTTTTAACTTGTGAAAACACTATGCATGTCAGAAAAGAACTTTGCTCCATAGAGTTTCCCATGGCTGATGATTCAGTAAATTGCTAGGCGTTCATCCAAGACGCCTACTAAAACTTTGTATTGCTAATCCTTTAATAAAAACCAATGAGTTAACTATTTGTGCCACCTAATGACTCCTGGCTGGATTCCATTTTGAAAGCCATCTACAGGAGCTGGCTTCTACAGGAGCTTGGTGGCTAAGAATAATGAGGGTGGAAAGCTGATTCCTTAAGGGGAGTGAGGGGAGGGGATATAGCCTCCTTGTTAAAAATCCATTAGGGCCCTCGTGCCTGGTTTAAATTATTTTTTTCAAACATTCTTCTAAGTGGTAACACTGGTCTGTACATTGCTGTACAGAGGTAACTTGTGGTTGCTGTGATGCTAAACACTGTGACACTGATGTGCCAAAAGCAATAAACATTACCCGCTGTGGACAGTGTTTGGTGGAGCTTCCCGATTAAAACAAGCTTGGAAGCAGGACTGGCATCCACTTCCGAAATGGCTTGCCTCCAGAAACTCTATGAACAGTGCTCAGGTCTTTAATTCATAGGGTCACTATGAGTCGTCTATGACTCAACAGAACCTAACAACAACAACAACAACAACAGTGACTTCCAGGCCTCTGGAGGTGTTGTCCTAAGAGGGCTGCAAGACTAACCCAAAGGCAGCACTTCTTCAGCAGTTTGAAACCATTTGCATCTCTATGGGAGAACAATAAGCAATTTCTTTCCCTGTGATTTAATCACCAAAAACCAGCTGGAGGGTCACCTCTAAGTGTATCCTGAGTATGTCAATGAGTTGATATGAGAACAGCGACTCCACATACACTGCATTGCCCCACTGTTGTCCTTGAAAGTTACTCACATGCTTATCCAGACAAAAAGGGTTGAGAATTCTAGAATGCAACTTTTGACAATGTTAGTACCTGGTCAGTCTCCCCTCCTGCAATTTGCAGCCTTGGGAAACCTGCAGGAAGGTCAGCTGGAAGTTAGTTCTGACTCCATGTCAATGAATTTTCATTTTCAAACTATTTCCACATCTGTCAGGATTTCTTCTGCAATCTAAGTGACTTGAAGCAAGTGGACATTTGGTAAATATGTGCTTGATTTTGTTGAAAAGTACGCAGAACTATGTTATGATCTGTCCCAGAGTCCAACACTAATTTTTCTTCCTTTGTCACCAGGTGTGTAAATTATAATAATCAACATCCCAATGCTTGGTACATCTGGTAAGAACATCCTCATTCTGTCTTAAAAATATTTTATGGTATGCACAAGTATATGAGATTGTGGTCTCACTCTCTAGTGCATTAAATCATATGACTTAATGAAATTTTACAGTTTCTGTGAATTAATATCTACAGAAGCACCCCTTTCTGATGGTTTGTGGAACAGGGTTTACTTAAACACTTCCTATTACAGGGATCGCCATACGTTGAAAACATAACAATTTATTCCAAAGTTGTTTACCTAACTATAAAACAACAATCATCCTTTCTCCTGAAATATCCCTAAATGACTTAATTGCTGACCTTAAAAGTATTCAACATAAGTCTCTTGTCTCTTTTACTATACACTTCTTCAGGAATTTTAAGACAATTATTTGTGTTTTCTAAGGAAAACATTACAAGCTTGCTTAAATGAATAACTAGGCCTTAAAGGCAGAGATATACACTTATCAACCTTGAATCACCCACACCAGAGTCTAAAATCTATTTGGTTGCTTAAATGTTAGTTAAATGGATGCATAACTACTCAATTAAAGGAAGAATGGGCCTCAAGAAATTGCTCCTTTGAAAACTCTTCATAGTCAAAGGCAACAATTAGCTCCCCCAGCAACACTGATCCACTCTGAGCCAGGGAAATCCTAGGGCTGATGCAACAGAAGTGAATGTATGGAGGGTGGAGGAGAGGGTATTTAAGGAACTCAGCATCTTAGACAGCTTGTAGCTAGACTAGTTGATTCTTTTTTCCCTTATGAAGTAAGTAAGAAGGAATACACTTGCCCAGTGCTATACCCCTCTCAGCTCCTTCCTTGCTTTTTGTGGATTCAGGTTCTTGCTGCTGATTTTTCTGGTGGCTCTTCTTTGTGGAGTTGTGCTTTTCTGCCTCCAGTGCTGGCTGAAAAGGTCCAGACTTATTCCCCCAACACGGACAATGGCCGTTTTCGCGGTTGGAGATTTGGACTGTGTTTATGGTAAGTTGCAAGCTGAATTTGAGACTTTCATTTCAAAAACTCTTATAGTTTTGTGATAAATTGAAAACTTATCCTTTGATAGGCAGATTTAGAACAAGAGAAGGTCTATTGAAGACACAAAAATGATACACTGAGGAGAAGAAAAAAATTAAAAGGGAAAATGTGTCTTGGGGAACTGACTCAAATTTGACTATCAGGATAGAATCTAAAGGATATAAAAAAAGGACAAAGTAAAAATATATAAATATATAAAACTGGTCACAGAATATTTGGTAGAGCTTAAAAGTGCAAAGGAGTGTCTTTGAACTTTTAGCCTTTGTTTATCCAGTCTTGTGGTCTTGATGACATTTGGTAAACTCTTCATAGCTCCTTGAGTTTATCTGCAAGAACGTTGAATGAACTACACTTGTTAGATTTTCTGTAGTCAATGTAAAGTCTGAAATAGTTGGCAGGAAGTTACTAATTCCACTTCCATCATTCCCCACTTTGAAGGAGATAAGGTAAGGAGGAAATAAAAGTCTTAGAATGCTCATTACTGCACATCTTAAAAAAAAAATAATTTAGTGACTTTTGGGATGCTAGCTTTGATAGTTTTTTTGTTCTTGTTAAGCATTTTTCTTATCAAGATATTTGAAACTTACTTTTTGAAGAACTGCATCAGATTACACAGTTACTAAAAGAGTAATTGGTACTGGCTAGCAAATACCTTTTATAGGAAACAAAAACAGTTTACTATTCACATGGACCTCACCTGATGGTCTATACAGGAATCAGATCAGTTACATCTGTGGAAAGAATTACTGGAGAAGCTCAATACCATCTGTGAAAACTAGGCCAGGTGCTGATTGTGGAACAGATCATTAAATACTCATATGCAAGTTCAAATTGAAGATAATAAAAATGAAAGCAATTTCACAAGAACCAGAATTTGGTCTTGAATCCATCCCACCTAAATTTTAAAAGCATTTCAGAAAGAGGATTGAGGTCATGAATGCAAATGAACGCAGAGAAGATGAGCTGTGGGAGAATAACAAGAATATCATCTATGAAGAATATAAAAGGCCATCCCAAAGACAGAGTAGGAATAAAAGACAGAGATAGACTGAGAAGTCAAAGCAAAAAGAAGAAATGAGGAAGTTAAGGAACTGAACAGAAAATTTCAAAGGGCAGCTCAGGAAAACAAAGCAAATATAACAAAATATAGAGTCAGAAAATTAAAAGAGACACTTTTGCCCAGAATTTCTTAAGCTAAAGAAACTAAAGAATAAATTCAATTTTTGAGATGCAATACTTAAGTATGCTATGGGCAAAATATTGAATGATCCAGGAAACAATAAAAAAAGATGGAAAGAATATACAGGGAGTCATGGTACCAAAAAGAATTGGCTAACATGGTAGAATTTTGTGAAACAGCTTATAATCAGGAAATAATCGTGATGAAGAAGGAAGTTCAAGCTACTCTGAAGGAACTGCCAAAAACCCAAGGCTCTAGGAATTGATGGAGTACTAATTGACATATTTCAACAATTGCAGCCCTGGATGTACTCACTAGGTTGCACCCAGAAATCTAGAGGACAGCTATCTGGCCAACTGATGGGAAGAGATCCATATTTATTTCCATTTAAAAAAAAATCATCTGATAGGGGATGGAAACTATTAAACAAATCTTGCTGAAGATTTTCTGGCCAACTGATGGGAAGAGATCCATATTTATTTCCATTTTTTAAAAAAAATCATCTGATAGGAGTTGGAAACTATTAAACAAATCTTGCTGAAGATTTTCCAAAACTGACTGGAATAGTACATCAACAGAGAACTACCAGAAACATACACTGAGTTTAGAAGAGGCCATGGCACTAGGAACATCATAGCCAATGTCAGATGGATCTTAGCTGAAAGGAGAGAGTTCCAGAGGAAGGTCTATCTTTGTTTCATTGACTATACAAAGACATTTGACTGTGTGTAATTTGTTCTTTATCCATACCTTTTCAATCTATATGTGGAACAGATCACTCAGGAGGCTGGACTTTATTAGGAGGAATGTAACATCAGGATTAGAGGAAGATTCCTCAACAACCTCTGTTATGCAGATAGCAACCTTGCTTGCCAAAACTGGGAGGACCTGAAGTGTTCGCTGCAGTAGGTCAAGGACTGTAGTCTTTAATATGGATTGCAGCTTAACATCAAGAGACAAAGATTCTCACACTGGGCCAATTGGAAGCATCATGATAGATGGAGAAGAGATTTAGATTATTCACAATTTCAACTTGATTTGTTCCATAATCAATATTTGTGGCAACAGCAGGCAAGAAGCCAAAAGATGAACTGTATTAGGAAAATCTGCTGTCAAGGACCTCTCCAAAGTACTAACAAGCAATGATGTCAGTCTAGATACTAAGGTATACCTGATCCAGGCCATGGTCTTTGCAATTACTTGCTACACTTTAGATAGCTGACAATAACTAAGAATGACAAAAGCAGAATTGATGCCTTTGAGTTGTGCTCAAGAAAAATACTGAGGGAGCTGTGGTGGCCTAGTGGCAATAAGCTGAACTGCAATCCCAAAGTTGCATGGTTTGAATCCACCAGATGCTCTGCTTGAGAAGGAGGGGAATCTCCTCCTGTGCCAGTTGGATCTTATTTGACGGGACACAACAAGAAAAAAAAAAAAAAAAGAAGAAGAAGAATATTGAACATACCATGGACTGCCAAGGGAGCAAATCAGTCTGACCTGGAGAGGGTAAAACCAGTTTTACCTTGGATTCAAGGATTGTGAAGCTCTGTCTCACATACTGGGGGCATGTTGCCATGAGGAACCAGTCCTTCGAGGTAAAGTGCAAGAGAGAAGACTCTGGATGAGACTAATTGACACAGTAATTGGACTAATGGAGGGAGGTATGATGGAGACAGTGAGATTGGTTCAGGACAGGGCAGGCTGCAGAGCTATTGTACACAGGATAGGTATGAGTCACAGCTGACCTGATGGCATATAACAATACCTGTCCTCAGAGGCTTTAAGTCCTGTGATACTTGGACCAGCATGAGATTTACAATGTTGTATTTTTTTTTCATAGTCTAAACATTATTTAATTAGGTCTACAATAATCTAGAAAACCAATTTGTGAGGATAAACCCCATTGGTGAGGGAGAATAAAGAACGCAGGTAGCTTTTGAGCTGAGGAACGGCTTTGATTTTGGGTAAGATCTGGGAGTCCACAGCTTTCTGGTCAATCTTGCGCTGCTCTGTAATCTCGTATTTC